TAAACCCCTTTATATACAATTTTATTATGGAATTTTAAACTAATAGTAGAATACCAAAGAAGAAATAACACTTGATGAAAGAATTCTATTGTAATATCAAATCGTGCTAACATAAGCATGGAGTTAGGTGATAATGGATTGCAAATGGTATAAGATTGTCATCAATTGTAGGTGAAAAGATAAAAAGATTTGAATAGATTTAAAATGTTATACAAAACTCATAGATGAGCTCTCCCTATTAATCACTCCACAAACCATGGTAATGATATTCCATCATATCTTAGACAAGTCTCCACAAAAGTTTTTTAGTTAGACAACATGAGAATTACGATTCTTTAAAAGTGAAATAAGTTTGTACGTACATTTTTAATGGGAGTATTTTTGTTAGTAAATAAATAGATTAATAGAATAAAATGAAAAAAAATGTTACTAAGCAACTATTCAAAACTTGGACAAACTTCACCAAGATATTACTATGTTAAGAAAGTTGCAAAGGACAACCGTAGTTACATAATTTAGCTCTTTCCTATTCAAAACAGGTTTCAACTACTTACTTGCAAAGGATAACACTAATTTTCGCATACTTTAGCTCTTTTCTTCTTTCCAAGATAAGATACGAGCTGAGAAGGAATCGACTGGCTTTCATTCGATTCAGAAAGTCATGATGAATATACTCGATTGATTCGAGGCTACCCATATGTTTGAACATCACATGAGTGAGGGTAGAGACGTAGAGTTGCATGGAATAGAGGAAAAACTTGAGAAAAGCTTGATATAATTCTTTTCAATGATAAATGGAATGCTGGAACGTAACTTTTTGTTTAATACTCTTAGTAGCTAGCACTCGCATAGGATGAATATACTGATACCTTTGCGTTGTACGAAAATGTGGAGAAACTACGTTACGTTACAAGGATGTAGATGCTCAAATTAAAAGAGGGGAGCAAATTACACTACAAAAAAACAGGGCGTTAGTCACGGATTTAATCACGGATCGTAGTATAAAAATTCGTGACTAAGTCTGCTAGTCACGGATTATTTTTCTCTCTTTTACGCAAGTTTCAATAACATCATTTTTACTTCATTACTTTTGTGTCTGTCAAACTTAACAAAGTTTTGGGCATGGAAAATATTAGACTGCTGTTGTTACAATTTTTTCTTTGTAAATATACTCCGTTGTCCGTACATAGTAAGCCAAAATTAGAATAGTGAAAGCAGGTAATATCGATCTGCTAATGCACAGTTGACACGTTTTTTCGAGGTAACCTTTGTGTTGTGCCCTGAAAACTGCTCCTAGATCTGACTACACAATATCTTCAAACCATGTGGCCCTTATCAGTGACCGTCCAGATCCATAGTGATCCGACCCAAGCCCAATCAGTCCAACTCAATTAATCCAAAAGATGGAACATCTATAACTACATATAGCCTGTTTCTGCCATCTGCTTCTGTACGGGCCCTGTCAATATACCAAGTACGAATATAAGATACTCCCTCCGTAACATTCATATCTTCCCATTTTCCTTTTTTGGATGTAACATTTATATCTTCCCATTTCTAAATCTTCCCATTATATCCTCAATAATTTAAAAAACAATACACTATTACACCTACTTTTTTTTGGATTTATCCTTCATTCCATCATATTATTTCACTATCTTCCCATCATACCATCAATAATTCATATCCTCTTTCACTATTCTTAATCTCACCCACTTTTGAAGTGAGAAGATATATGTGATACGGAGGGAGTAGGTCCGAGTGTAGAACCCCGTCCTTTATTCAAGTCGGTCATACCCGTCTATTCGAGTGACTTTATCAACCATAGATTCCATCGTTCTCTAACATTTTCATTAAAAATGACACCACTTTTTTAGATAATAATTACTCCGTACATGAAGTAATTTAATTGTATAGTATGATCTCCATTCCATCCCATTAAGGTTGTCCTAATTTTTATTCACTTAATCAACACAAATCATTCTTAATATCTTATTTTATATATCAAATTTTTATCAAATTTAATTCTTTTTTTTTTATTTTGTAAGTTTTTAATGTAATTTCTGAATATGTAATATTATTTTTCAAAATTTAAGTGTGGGCAGAGATCTATTCGCTTTATCGTCGATCAAGCATATTAAACCGAATTGTTTCCTTCTTAGTGGGACGGAGGGAGTATATGAGAAGTATTCTGGATGAAATGTAATACGGAGTACATTGTACGGAGTAGTAACTAGTAATTGGTGATATTTATAATGTTTTTGAAAATCAAATAACTAATTTATTCAAATGATAGTAACATGATAAGCGAATGATAGTAAGGAAATTGTTAAAGGTAAAAATAAAAAAAGAGCGAAAACATAGTAAAACCTTACATTCTTTACTTCATTGTGTGGACAACATTGTCAATCGCCCAAACTCCTATTGGTTGTAAATGAAGGCTAGAAGATGAGATCGCCGTCTAGGATTCCCCTAAGCCGGCAGCTCCCACTCGCACACTTGCATTGCCTTTGTTTAGAATTTGAGAACAGTTTTTTATTTGTGTTTACATGCATGTTATATTTTTAATGTAGAATGATTAAAAATGTAAGGAAAAAATGGCGGAAATAAGGCTTATAAGAACTCAAAAGACCAAATTAGGACCACTTTATAAACTGGCCAAAAAAGAGACTGATTTTTATGAAATGTCCTGATTTACCCCTACTATATTTTACGGAGTATCCAGTAAAACCCTGGAATTTCAGTTTCTCCTCCAAAATCCAAATCTGGATCCTCGCATCACTCCTCACGCAGCCAGCTTCCGCCGCCGCTCAGCTCGCCGTCTACGCCACTCTGCTCGCCGTCTTCTCCACTCAGATTCCTCTCACAGTTGCCGCCGCTAAGCTTCAAGTCGCTTCCGTGGCCTCAGCTTTCGCCGACGCCTCACTTTCCACCACCGCCGTCGCCTAGGGCTCCACCGCCACCATCGCCATCCCGAACGATCTCCACCGTCTCCATCTTGAGCAGTCATCGATGTGTCCAACCGAATCCGTCGTCATCCCAGCCATTGTCTACCCCTAGCTGGTGGCATTGACTCTGTCTAGATCCATCGTCGTTCCTAAAATAGGTCGGTGGTTGAAATATGTCGCCTTCTCTGACCTAGTTTGTCACCGGCGGTGAGGCTCAACAACAGAGGGTGAGGCTATGGAGGTCATGGAGAGTTGAGTCTGGTGGCGCAAGGGGAGGGTCTGGAGTGGACTAGTGTGGCAGGGTGAAGGTCTGAGGTGAACTGGTGTGGCAGGGTGAGGGTCTGGTGTGGACTTGTGTGGTAGGGTGAGGGTCTGGGGTGGACTGGGTTGACAGGGAAAAGGGCAGGGGCAGGGGCAGACTAGTGGGGGCAGGAGTAGGGTAGGGGTGGGTCTGGGATGGACTGCTGGGGCTAGGCGGATGCAAGGGAGGGGGCCGGTTGAGTCGGGGATGTGGAGGGTGGTGGTCGAAGGTGGTAGCGTCGGTAACTTGTTAGGTAATTTTTGGTAACTGGACATGTTGAGTCGGGTATTCTAACGTTTTGGTTAGGTAATTGTAACTATTTGAATGGGGTAATTGTAACTTACGAATTAGTTAAATAGTGGATCGGATAATTGTAATTGGTCGGATCTGGTAACTGTAATTGATGAATTGGTAATTGTAACTGATTTGATTAAGTAACTGTAACGATTTTTGGTCACTGGTGAATTTTGGATTTTTTGTCACTAATGATTTTTTGTCACTGACGAATTTTGGTCACTGGTGAATTTTGGATTTTTGGTCACTAATGATTTTTGGTCACTGGACGTTGGTAACTGGACGGACGAACGTTGGTCACTGGTCGAGGTTGATTACTTGACGACATTTTTGGTCACTATTAATTTTGGTCACTGACAGATTTTGAATTTTTGGTCACTAATAATTTTTTGTCACTGGAGGATTTTGGTCACTGACGGGTTTTTGGATTTTTTGTCACAAATGATTTTTGGTCACTGGGTGGATTGGTCATGGTCACTAGTCAGATTGGTCACTGGACGGGTTGACGTTGGTAACTAGCTAGGTAAAATTTTTGGTCACTAATGATTTTGGTCACTGACGGATTTTTGGATTTTTGGTCACAAATGATTTTTGGTCACTAGATGGATTGGTCATGGTCACTAGTCAGATTGGTCACTAGACGGGTTGACGTTGGTAACTAGGTAAAAATTTTGGTCACTAATGATTTTGGTCACTGACGGATTTTTGGAATTTTGGTCACTGGGTGGATTGGTCATGGTCACTAGTCGGATTGGTCACTGGACGGGTTGACGTTGATAACTAGGTAGAATTTTTTGTCACTAATGATTTTGGTCACTGACGGATTTTTGGATTTTTGGTCACAAATGATTTTTGGTCAGTGACGAATTTTGGTCACGATAATGGTTTTGGTCACTGTGGCGTTATTGTTGACTAATGGGTGAGATTCTATTAAAATAAGGGTATAATAGTCTCTTAACCCATTGTTAGTCTCATTTTTGGAAAGTTGAAATAAAGGTCTCTTTTTTGTTCATAGCTCTTTTTTTAGTATTATTTTAGACATAACCCCAAATGTAAGTTGTTCTCTAAAATTGAAAATAGACCATTTAAATATGCCCAAATTCAAAGGATGAGTGGATAAAACAAGAATGAAGAAGCATTAATTTATTCTTTTGTCGTAGTAGTAACTATTCACATTGTTTTGGGATATTATTATTGTTGTTATTGTTGATGATGATGCTGTTACTATTATATATTATTATTATTATTATTATTATTATATTATTATTATTATTATTATTATTACTCCCTCCGTCTCTAAGTAAACTTCCAACTTTCCTTTTTCGTTCGTCTCAATTAAAATTTCAACTTTCCTCTTTTGGTAAAGAATTTGTGGTTCACAACATTTCTTACACATTTTTCTCTCCTCTACACAACTTTCCACCACACAATACTCACTGTCTTAAACTGTGTGCCTAACTCATTTGGAAGTTTTATTAGGGATGGTGGTAGTAGTACTACTAAGCGGAATGGTGTTTTTCCAAATGATTTCACGAAAATAGTACATAACGGCATATATATTCTCTCAATGACAATTACACCAATTGTTGTTACATACAAGTACAACCCAAAAAAGGGACACATACATCAAAATAGATACTCCGTACGATTTATAGCTAGCCACATTCTTCAAGTTGCATTGTCTTTCGATTGTTTTCCAGGGTCATTCTCAGCTTTGGGTTTTTTGGGCTTCACATAAGCAGATACGACCCCAAAAACAATAACACCAATCAGCAACACCAAGGCCAGAAGCAAAAGATGGAATGGATCATTTGCTGCACTCCTAACGGTAGCAACCAATCCGGCTTTGCAAGAATCACAAGTGTAGCAAAGTTGTGCTTGGGCATTGCTCCATTTCGTGCAATCTGCGTCTACTCTCGGGTTTATTTCCGCTATCCAATTTGTTGCGTTCACAAATTGGAACTCACACGGTGTTGGCGGTTTGCAACATCCCGACTACAAATGTAGATTACACAAGTAATTAAAATACACATAAAATAGATGATAACACATCAAACCAGATGAGATCAGAAAATTTCATTCCATTTCAAAACATGTATATGCCAGAATTATATGTGTACTTCTCTTTTGTGTAGTTTCATACTCCGTATTATTACAGACTTCTTGGAGCAACCTCTATTTTGACCACGCATTCTAGGGAGGAATGGAGTTACATTAACCAAATTAAATTGGACCGGGGGGATTCTTATCGTAAGGGCATGTACAATAAAATCGGCTACCTATCAATTCATATCTCTAATGAGCAATCATATCTATTTTCACGACGATATAATGGCATGATCTCATAATGATTCAAAAATAAAATTAAGAAAAACAAATTGAAAGCATGATCCTGACTGTTGACGTATCACAATTCACTGGAAATAGAATGGTTCACTCGTAAGAGGAAAATGCTAAAAGTAAAAACAAATTAAATTTACAAAAAAAAAAACTTACTCGTATAAAACAAGTGATGTGGCTATTGTAATGACTTTTGATGTAAAAATAATGTGATGCTGTCAAATAGATTTTTTGTAAGACTTTTTATAAGAATATATGTACCTCTAGCATAAGTCATTGTAAGAACATTAATGTCCATCTATAATATGAACATTTATATTGAACATTTATCATTCTAGGCTTCTAACTTTATCATTATGAATATCCATTCATATTCGATATAAACTCTTAAGTAATCTATATATTTAAGTTTATGCAATCAACATGGTCGTTCCATTATACAGATTCTTCTCGCTATCAAGCTAAGAGTTACATGATTAACCAATAAATTTAACCGCAAATTTGATCGTTTCCTAATCATCACTAAAATTTGTCTTGTTTGACAACTTGATCAAATGATGAGTAAAAAGTTAACCAATATTTTTAATCATTACATTTGAGTGGAGTACATTCATTTTACACTTTTGTGAGAGTATTTTAATAAAAACATTTCTTATGTTACTCTACATTGTTAATAAAGTAAAAATAAAGGGGAGTTTGACTTTGCACTTATTGTCCGGGCAAATTAAAGTTTTATGTTTAATTTTTGGGTCTAGTACTGAATGTATTTGTGCGTTGTATATAAGTAGGGTTTAAATACTTAATTTGATTATCCTGACGTTAAGAGTATTATGAGGGCAGTTCATATCAAGCTGACTTGACAGGATCCGCCGTCCGACCAAAGTCATCATTTGGGGTCTTTCTTCGTAGAATTTGTTAATAATTTTTTTTTATCATGTTCTTCATCAGATCTAACTTATGTATATCAAATTTCAGCTAAAAATTTAATATGAAAATCAGCCAAATGCCAAATTGACAAACACTGCGCTGTTTATATACGATAGCATATAACACACACTATTTTTAATAATTTTTTTAAGTACCTTCTCGATTGAGTTTTTAGCTGAAATTTGTTGGTAATAAACTAGATTTGATGAAGAACATTCTCTAAACATTTCATCAACAAATTCCATTGGGAATAGCCTCAATTGGCCTTGGCCGGACGGCGTGTCCTGTCAGTCCACCCTTATGGGATCGTTACTCGGAGTATTATTAAAGTAAATATGTCAGTTTGAGTGTATTTACTATGGATGAGGAAGCGATCTAGCCCAGCTGGTCGCCGACTCACTCTCCCTTATGGGAGGTCTCGGGTTCGAAACTCCAGGCTCCCCCAGCCCCCCTCCCCAGACGCCCCTGGAGTAAGAAAAAGAAAAAGAAAAGGAAAAGAAAGAGTGTATTTACTATTGCATTGACTGGCTAAACACATTGTGATTATGTAACTGTGTTATGGTAATGGTTGTGACATATTTGAGAAACGATTTTTTTGTCTATGAGGTTCTAGGAGCATTTGTAGTGTAAAAGCATCTCTAATGTAAATTTGTGATCGAACGGCACGTGTATGCATAACATGAGAGAATATATACAAAAAAATGATTAATAGAAAATAGTTCACATTCTTTTCATATGTAATAAATATTCACTTAATTTGTGAGCGGGGGTCTATGTAATGTAACATTATGTTGGACACTGTTTATTTGCCTATAAAATGCGATCCATTTACTTGAGTAAAAGACGGGTGAACTTTTTCAAATGCGCTTCTTTGAATAATTTGGTCTTTAGGGATATCATTAGAAGAAGAGGTAACCATGTTTTTAAAATGTCATTATTCTTTTTGGTGTTCTTTTTGTGTCCTCTTTTCAAAACGAAAAACAACAAAAATATCACACGTACGAACACTCTAGATTAAACATTTTTAGGCAGTGTTTGCCATTGCTTAATTTAAGCACTTTTGGACTTTTGGTTTTGGAGAAGCCAAAAGTAGTGTTTGCAAATGCAAGATTCTGCTTAATTTAAGTGATTTTAAGCTAAAAGTAAAAAGCTGGGTTGGAGGTGCTTTTATCTGCTTCTAGGTTTTTTTGTAAATAAGACTAACTTTAAGGGCAAGCCTATTCCTAAATATATTCGTTAATCTCCAAGATGCCCTTCTTCCCCACATCCTTCGTACCAGACTTTTAACATAAAAGAACCAGAAGGTGCTCCAACATCCAAATAAAGATGCCCTTCTTCCCCAACGGTGCTATCGGTGATGAAGGTGCGGTGTCGCCTCCGGTGGACAGTACACAGATTTCGACGCAGATCTCCGTTATTTGATTCGAAACTGAAGAGGGCTACAAGTTGGGCAGAAACACAGGAATATTTTCCGATTGAGAAGACCAAACGAGTTGCCGACGTGTTGGAGAATATGTGAGAAAAGCATAGCTCGAATGATCTAAGGGTTGAGAAAAGTGTAGATAGGGTCTAAGGGACCGGTGGACATTTCACTATGGAGTAACCGAGTAAAATCTAATTTATTTAATGGGCATTTTTGAACTTTAACAAAATACTCCATTAAAAATCACTTTTTTCTCAAACACTCCAACTTTTACCTTTTAATAAAAATCACTTCTATTTCCAAACACTACATACTTTTACTATAAATCACTTTTCCAATAATCTCTTAAAAAAATTACTTTTGAAAAGCAAAAGCAATCGCAAACACTCCCTTAATTCAAACGTTCAATGCGATTAGTGCCCTCCATCACTCTATGGCTACATTCAAGGTATATATCTTTACCACTCATTCAAAAATGTTCCTTACAATTTTTTAAATGAATAAAAGACTAACCATTCATCTCAAATCTCTATATATTACTCGTAATACATATAAGATCAAATCATGTCAAGGAAAATAAATTAGAACAAAAGAGATTTATTGAGCATTCATTAAACTAAAACCAAAACCAAATGAGATTATATTAGACTTTATAATTACAAAATACAAATAAATTAAACATCTATCACAAGATATACTCAAATTAATTAATTTGAATTGAATCAGATTAGATTAGTTCAACATATCAAACGAGACAGGCATAGGAAAACTTGTAAATTTTCTTCTTTAAAATATCAATTATTTAAATTTCATGATTTAAAAATAATAACGACTTACAAGTACATACATCTTATATGACTTTTAATGTGTGTGACATCTTATATACGTAGTAAGTTATTATAACTTTATATATAGAGCCCGTTTTGTGACTGTGTTTTTCGGTTTATCAGCCAATTTATTTTAACCAAACACGTAACTTTTGATTTAACGCGCTGAAATGTGTAATAATAACAAAAAGTAAGGTTGAAGTTACTTTTATGCTGTATTGGCTGAAGTTATTGTAGATGATCACTTTAGTTATTTTCATATAATTTTTTATTTACTTTATTAATAAAATATACTCCCTCTGTTTCCAAAAGAAAGTCACGGTTTGACTTCACGGTTATTAAGAAAATAAATTGACTTTACTGTAGAAAACACTGTTTAGACACTGTTTGGACACTGTTTGGCACTGTTTCGCAATGTTTGACACTGTTTGGATGTATATTTCTTTGCCAAATAAGGAAATAAGGGATGTGTGACTTTGTTTTTGAAACATCTCAAAAAGGAAAGTGTGAGTTTCTTTTAGAAACGGAGGGTGTATTTCAAATATAATTAATTCATAAAACAACAGAATCAGCCAATACAGTCACTTCTGCCAGATCTTCATAAATTTCAGAAGAATCAGCCGATTCAACCAATTTTATTGTTACCAAACAGGCTCATAGTAACTTTATTTAATAGATCTTTTTTTTACCTACGAGTTTTATTTCAATATTTCAAAAGGTTAATCCCCAACTTCGAGGGTCTCCCCGGCCCGACAAAGCATTTGGGGATGTAAGTTACAGTGGCCCAATCAGTTCAACGGTAGTAGACCTTGTAACCGTGCGCACCAAAGATTTAACTCAACACACATAAGTGTTAACCTCCACACAACCACAATAGATTTCGATCTTTGATCAATATTTCAACTTTCTTACCGCTCAACTAAATGAGGTACCCGTGCCGACGGCAGGGGCGGACCGTAGTACAGACCCAGGGGGGCAACCGCCCCCCAACAAAAAAAATTTAGGGTATATATATACAAAAAATAATTCTTACCCCCTCAAAAAATAATTTTCGCCCCAAAAAATTATTTTGAACCCCCAAGACGGATTTCCTGGGTCCGCCCCTGGCCGGCGGTGCGGGTTTTATTTAAACATACAAAAAGGGTAGTTAAAGAAACAAGCTCAGAGGACATATCAAACTAAAAGAAAAAACCTGAAAGGGGGTGAGAGTGGCATTGAAGAAATCTTGAGCCATGGGGTATTTCTGACTCAAAACAGCACACTTATCAGAAGAGCCAAGACATCCTGCGAGACTATCCCACCCATCAGTAACCCGCCGGCGAAGCCAGCCGGGGATGCCGCCGCCGTCGACATTGAGATGGTATTCAGAGTACGTCCTGCTCGTCGCCACCGCGCCGGAATCTTGAATGGCGCTGAGCTTGTACATGAAATAAACCAAGTATGCCACCCATACGATGAGAAGAATCATGGATACCCAGTAAGCTAAGAGAAGCCATTTGATCATTCCCTTCTTATAACAGCAAAACAGAACGCATCCAATCACGTTTGCTGCTAATATGAGAGCTCCCAGGAAGAAGAGTTGTGAAGATTGGGAAATATGGAAACATGGAAACTGGTCTATTTTGCTTTCAAGCCTCATCCGGGCTAGGAAGATGATGATGAATGCAGAGATTATCCCCACTAATAAGATTATAATTCCTGTCACTTTGTGTGTTATTCCTGCCATTTCTTCAGGCTGGCCTTCTGATCTATGTCGTCAATGGTATAATGAATAAGTCTATCTATAATAACAAAGTTTTTTTTTTATAGTTCTATAATAATAACAGAGTTGATCACCTCAATTAAGCAACCACCCTTAGCTAATTGTATTGGTATTCCTTTTTTTAATCTGATTCTTGCTTTACCTCTGTTTTTGCTCTTACTTACTTGACCCGGTTTCACTTGGCTAGGCACTAGGTCCACTCTACGGTCCTTTTGATAGCCTAATGGTTTTTGGGAATTAGGCTATCTTTCAACAAAATGCCCCAACATCCCGATTCAACAAAATGGCGGAGAGGTAATTCAGTATATGATTTCAAATAGTTTGCAAGTGATGTCAAAGATTGAACTTGAGACTTCAACCTAAGAAACGCACTCAACAACTTTGATCTACTAGTGTGGGTAGAATTAGGCTAATGTGGCTTACATTTACAACAAATGAATTGACTGCCTTCCCGATTTAATTTTTAGCTGAAATTTGATATGGGTAAACTAGACTTAATGAAGAAGATGCTCAAAAATTTTCATCAAAAATTCCACTGGGAACCTTTCCAATTAGCGATGACCGGGCTGAACCTCCTATATAAGGGGCTAATTGAACACTTTAAGTTAGTTCAAGGACCTATTTGATCCTTTAACCTACAACATATGAAATTAATGTGACAATGTTACTTACATTTACAAGGCATTTCTTTCTATCTTTAAGCATAAAAGAGCGGGCACAAAAAGTTCCTTAATTAGGGGTAAGACATATCAAAAAAATTCTTAAATAAGAGTAAAACTTTTTCTTCTCCTAGTAGAACTCAAGCACCCCTATTTTAGGAAGAAAAATTATTTTTCTCTTTGGCCCTGTTTGGTTGGAGGGTTTCGGAGGGGAGAGGAGGGAAGTGAGCAATTTGTGTGTGTTTGGCTGAAGGAAATAGGGGGAAGGGAAGGAAAGTGGAGGGCTTCCAAAATCCCCCACTTCTTCCCATTCTCAACCACCCAAATCCGGGTATTTCGGAAGAAACGTATTAACAACTACAAACTATCCATCTCCTATTTGAATGGACAAATCGTTATAATATAAAAAGGGTAAAAAAATAAAAATAAAAAATAAAAAATAAAAAAATTTTAAAATTTCAAAAATTCAAAAATTACAATATTACAAAAAATAAAAATAAAAAAAAATTTAAAAAAAATATTATGACTTATGACCTTAGGAGTAATATTCACAATGATTAGAGATGTATCTATTTTTTTAAGTAAGCTATCAAATAAAGGTAAATTTGGAAAATATTTTCATTAAAACTTTCCTCCTATATATCTCCTCCAACCAAACACAAGTTTTTATCAAAATCCTTCCTTCTCCTTCCCTTTCCTTCCCTCCTTGACTCTCCCCTTCCCTCCCCTCCTTTGAACCAAACAAGGCCTTAGTGTACATTACTATATCCCTCTTTCAGTCATCCCCTCTAATCCCCCATTCTCCTCCGGTCCTCCCCTTTGATGTTATGAAAGAGAGTACGGAGTATATGATTGTAACACGCTAGTGTTTCTAAAATTTTCTCCTTCCGCTTTTTAGTATGCCAGTATACTAGCGACACGTATTTTTCTTTATATGCATTTCGAGTCAATATCGATCTCAACTAAAATGAAAATCAAAATGATATTCCTTTTATCGATCAAGATCACATTATTGTTTGATAATGACCATTTTACTTAAGAATGGCAATATAGTTGTATGGTGACAATATGGCTTCATGATGAAAGTAAAATAATGGCATAGTGATGACATTACTCGTCGGAATTCATCGACGTTTGCCGGAATCTGACGGCGGTAATCACCGATGGCTAGGTGCAATGAGGCGGTCCTTGTATTTTTCGATCAGTCAATAAGGGTGGTTGTGGACTGGTAATTTGTTTTGTCCAATTGACTATTACGGAGTATAAAACTTTAATTGCATTGGTAAGACCATTTTGATCCATCATATCCATACATAATTTACTCCCGTTTTGATATTTATGAGATAAATAGAAATCGTTGGAGAAAATTAGTTACTCCGTATATTTAAGTCCATAAATTTATCTTTCTCTTTGACAATATATTTAGTCTTCCTTTTGAAATCGGAAAGGAATGTGATATTTTTAATTCCCACTCCTACCACTCTAGAGAATATCTTTTGTATAAAATTGTATTTTATATTTCATGATGCACATGAGAAAAATAACTTTTGTAATTATTCTTAGCGGAATGTAATACTTTAATTAATAAATCAATCACATATAAATATTACGGAGTACCGAATAGAATTGCAACAATAATTAAATTAGTGCAAAACCAAACGTCGTATTACTTACACATTTACCATATACCACGTATGAAATAATACAAATGACAATCCATTTATATGTGCAAATTCAGATCATCAATCATCGCTGTTTTAGATTGTTCAGATTTGTGAACTATTACAATCTATAACCATTAAGAGATCGAGATAGTAATTACAAAAAAAAAACAGGGATCGAGAAGTTTTCTTCCATATTACTAAATTATTACATTTTTTGTGGACTACAAAATTGACTAAGTAAATTCTAATTTTTTTTTGTGGACTAAAAAAGTGACTAAATAAATTTTAAATGTGGAAAACATAAATGCAACATTACTAAAACTACCCATGTACCTAGTTCTATCTCGGCCATTGGTACCCCCCTCGTCCAATGACAGTAACACCTCTACAGCCCCGACCAACCAGTGGCAGATCTCTCATTTAAACTTTGGGTGTTCATTTGTTCTAAAATTAAAATTTGAAAAGACAATAACTAATTTAAACTAAAATTATACATGTATACTAACACTTTTTCAAAAATTGTAGGCGTTCATGTGAACACTTCTGCACTAAAGTAGCTCCGCCACTGCGACCAACGATTCGCCGCTGACCGATCAATGGCAACACCCACGCAATGAACCGTGCCGGTGATACAACTGCCACATGCCAGTGGCACCGCCGCCATCCAATGACACCCCCATTAGTGATATCTCTATCATCGGATGGTGTCATTATCACATGTAATTTTGTTCATTTGCAAATACAATTAGGTGACTAAGAAATGCATAACTGATATCTTAAGTATTGATATTGATGCATTTTGGTACAACTCTTAATGAAGCAAATGGATATCACAAAGACTTTTAAATGTTTATCATGTGATAGTTCCATCTAGAAGATCATGTGTGTGTGTTCACATGAATTGTTCCCCCATTGAAAACGAGATAATTACCCTAGGTATAACTAAAACTCCACCACATTCCCAATCTATGACTTTGAGTTTTTTTCCCCAAATAATATTAAAATTCGTAATATTTAATTAATATATTATTAAATAATAAAATAAATATTTTATATGGACTAATATGCCCTTAGATTTTCATTATAAAACCCTAACATCCTATACATCTTCTCCAACCCTAGTTGTCGTCCAGTATCCCTGCCTCTCCGTCCAGCCATCTACCATCGCCGCCCAACTGCTTGCCGTCTCCGCCCAACCACCGCCGGCCACCGTCCAGCCTCTTTCACGTCTTCATCCATATCAACAAGATCAGGACGAGTAGGCTTTGATTCTGGCGGATTTGGGGATCCAGTTCTTATGGCCGTGATTTTCTTGATTTTATTCCATCATCAGCCGTTCAACCATCGTTTGACATCTCGCCCGCTTAATTCGAACGATTTAATCGCCGCATAAGATGAATCGATTTCGTATTCGAACAGTAAAAAGAAGTGTGAAGCTAGCGGTGGAGATATCCGTTGATGGCGTTCAAGAGTGAGCACTCTGGCAGCTCTATTTGTGAAACGCAATGAGGGATACATAGTATTAGATCTAAGGCCTAAGGGTTTGTTTTGAGATTTCTTTTCTTCACTTTTGTGAGATTTCTTTTTTTGTTCCTCAAAAAAGGAAATTAAAGTTTGTTGAATTTAGGGTTTATGGGCATTAAACATGTGGATTGAGCAATAGCGGTGAATATGACAATAAGGCTTGAATATGACAGTGAATGTGACAATACATAATAGATATGTTGTACATGGCAGTGAACAAATGCATTAAGAAATTTTGTTATGCAGTGATTATGACCAGTATTGCAGTAACACAAAACAATGATATCATCATCAAATGCAATATACTCCCCCTATTCTTATTTCTCACTTACTTTGCACTCGGCAAAGTCTACCGGGACGGAGGTAGTACCTAAATAGACTTTGCACTCCTCAATTGAATAAGAAGAGAATTAATTTTAGGGGAAGTGCAGTGATTATTACCAGATGTGCAGTAAAGTCATGCATTAATTTTGTGCATTAACGGCAATATAAAGTGCAATAATTTTAATTGGACGAAATTAGTGCAAAATGCACATATTTTAAATAAGGGTATATTTGTCATTCAACATTTAAATATAAACGAATTTTCTATTTGTTTTTGGATTTTTGGTCATACAAAGGTGATAAGTCCGTATTTAGACACGCATTTGATGCGTGTTCGGGTCGGACTTTGATGATTTTCCTGGCTTTAAGGTGTTGCAAGTCTCAATTTTGGCTCAAGTTGTGTTTAGCAGGCGTTGGATCGAGTTTCATTGCATTTGGAGTTGATTTGAAGAAGTTAGAGTCCGGCAATCAGCGCTTGAGAGGCATTCGGGAAGGATTTGAAGGCATTCGGGAAAGATTTGGAAGATTTGGAGGCCACCGGGAGATTTGCGACGAAATTCTGGTGAAGAAAGAGCAGTTGGATCGACCTCATTGGCATCCGGGAGCATTCGGAGCAAGAAAACGAAGGAAAAGTGAAGAATAGGGTCAGGCACGCCGTGCCTGGCAGCTAGGCACGCCGTGCCTGATGCGAAATTATTCTGCGAGCTACTGGAGGCCAGGCACGGTCGTGCCTGGCAGCTAGGCACGCCGTGCCTGGCATTTTTCGAAGAGTCGAGCTACTGGAGGCCAGGCACGGTCGTGCCTGGCAGTTAGGCACGCCGTGCCTGGACGCGAAACCGGCCTTCTTCCGTAGGCACGGTCGCAGGCACGGTCGTGCCTGGCACCGTGCCTGGCCGCGATTGATCCTAATTCGACCCGAATTCGTTGTTTTCTATAAATAAGGCCTCCATAACCCCGTTTTGGGGGTTACGAACATTACGGAGAGGCCTAGGGACGAATTTAACACCGTTTTTACGCTATTTTCTTTCAAGACCCTGGGATTATTTGTAAGTTCATCTTTTTAATTAATGACAATTTATTCTATTCATCTCAATTCTGTTGATTCTTCAATTATGAATTGTGAGTAGTTTAATTAGGGATTTGGGGTTGATGAAGGGGTTAATCATGATGTATGGCTAGATTCTTGTCGGTTTAATTGCATGAATGCCGTTTAATTTGTGTTTGAATAATTTAATTGATATCTCTTGTAACCTAGACTGCAGCTAGAATTACAATTGCACGTAGAATGAATTAAGAGAGATCTAATTTGTTCTAGGACACATTCACACACACTTAATCGTTCGCTAAGAGATTAGTAGTGATTAAGGGGCCGTAAGCTCGCTCGTCTTGGCAATAATTTAGGATCCTGTCGCATGAGAGATCAGCCTGGTCCCCTAAATTATTGTACTCTACGCCGCGAGAGCGGTAAGAACTTAGTAATGATTAGCTAGGCTCAATTAAATTAAATTCATGTAATTAGGCCTGATCTGCCAGAAATCTGATTACCCCGGAATCAATTCCTATTCCCTTCGTCGTTAATTGAGAAGAAACCACTTTTATTTTAATCGTTCAATTCGCATTAGTTTAATTTTAATTCACCAATCAAATCTCGCACACTTGCATTTATTTATTTTATTTCTTTTTAATCGCTGAATTTAGTTAATCTTTAATTCCCTTTTGTCCGTCCCTGTGGAGACGATACTCGTACTTTCAACCACTATTCTACAATCTTTTTAAGTGCGAGAAAACTCACATCAGTTTTTGGCGCCGTTGCCGGGGACGGTGTCGGATTTAAGGGTTAATTAATTTTAGCGACTTGTTTTTAGTTTTTCGTAGGATTTTTGTCTACTAACCTTGCAGGTCAGATCTGTTTATGCATACACGCTCTAAGAAGGGAGAATCACTAGTCCCTCTTAATCCTGAGATCGAGAAGCTAGCTAAGCAGAACCGCAAGGCCTTTAGAGAACAGAAGAAAGCAACCATGGATCAACCATCCGCATCTGGAATAGCTGGGACGTCTGAGGTCCAAACCACTTCTGGTAATTTGGATTTTTATGTCAATACCTCTCCCCAGTCTTCACCAGAAAATTCACCTAGAGCTTATCCGGGGTATCAAAATCTCCGTACCCCATTCTTCCACCAAAATCAGTCCACTCCACAACTGAATCTTCCACCACTTTATCAACTCTTCCAAAATACCTCTACTGCTCCCGAAACCATTTTTCAAAATCAAACATACGGGATGCAAGGTATTGGGCAAAATAATCCACTCTTTCAGCCCAGACAGAACCAACCGCCAGTCACACAAAATCCACCCCTTACTCAGCCACAAAATCAGCCCTTCCAACCCCAATTTCAACAATATAATCAGCCCCAAGTTCAGCCCCGAGCACAGGCAAACATAGCCCGTCCACATCCTATAAGACCACAACCAGTTCATCAGCCGAGATATCAAGCTCCTCCATACCAAAACTATGTTCCACATGACAATCCACTCTATCAAGGAGAGAGCATTGCAGACTTCCTAGCCCCCGAGATCACAGAGTATGACAGTATTCAGGTACCGGGAATTACCGCACCCCGTTACGAGATCAAGCCGGCGGTGATCAATATGGTCTTAAACAATCAGTTCGGAGGGAGCCCTACGGAAGATCCAGTGGCACACATTACCAAATTTCTGAGGATGTGCCAGACTTTCAAGATTCCTGGGCTAGATGACGATCAGGTACGGATGCTACTATTCCCTTTCTCTTTGAGGGATGACGCACAGAGGTGGTTGGATAGCAATCCACATCACCACATTCAGACTTGGGATCAGCTGCACAAGGCCTTCATTAAAGAATACTTCCCAACATCAAAGGCCATAAAGTTGAAGAAGCAGCTACAGGAATTCAAGCAAGGTTCTTTGGAGACATTAGCTGAGGCGTGGAAGAGATTCAAGGTGCTGAGAAGAGCTTGCCCTCAAGGCAAGATGACTGATTGTGAGGTTCTATCTTGTTTTTACAGTGGACTCAACAATGAAGGAAAGATGATGCTTGATGCTTCGGGAGGTGGAGCTTTTCCTCAGTTGCCATCTGAGGTTGCGGAAGAATTAGTGGAGAAGATTGTGTCGAATAATGCTTCATGGTACAGTTCTCGGGACACACCTCACCAGAAGGCCCCGGGATTGTACGAGATCAGTGAGAATTCTGCCCTTTCTGCAAGGGTAGATGCTTTGACCAGTATGATTCAGAAGCTTGCTACTACAGTGGAAGACAATCAAAAGAAGACGGAACTTGCTCTCTCGGTGCCTAGTGTGAATATGGTAGCCCCCGTTCCTATTAGTCCCTCTTGTACTATGTGTGGGGGACTCCATTCGCCACATGAATGCACAATGATGGCACACTCGGCAGCCCCTGGAGTGGAGCAAGTGGATGCGATGTATTATCAGCGTCAGGGCTACTACAATCAGCCCTACGGACAGCAGCAGCAAGGAAATTACGGGCAAGGAATTCAGCAGCAATCTAGGAACTATAATCAACATCAAACATCTCAGCCAGTGCAAGAGAGTTTTAAGAAAGAAACAGAACAAAGATTTTCTGGCATAGAGGAAACACTCAAGAAGTTGCTGCAAATTCAGCAGCAACAAATGCAATCTCAACAACAAGCAGATTTGAGGATGCAGCAGGCTGACTCAAGGATGCAGAACATGGAGACTCAATTGGGGCAGATCTCAAGGGCTTTATCTGAGAGGCCTCTGGGATCCCTCCCTAGCAATACCGAGCCAAACCCAAGAGAACATGTTCATGCAGTCACCTTAAGGAGTGGAAAAGAATTAGAACCTGCTGCCACGGCAAAGAAGTCCGAGGAAGTTAAAGATGTACCTGCTGCCCGGGAGGAAGAAAAAGAGAAGGAAGAGGAGAGAGAGGTGGCAGTTGCACCAAAACAGCCCGTTCCCGTCAATAATTACACCCCTCCTCTCCCCTATCCGGCGCGATTGACTAGGAAGAATGATAGTGACCAGTTTGGTCATTTTCTGAAACTCATGAAACAAGTCCAGCTCAACATTCCATTCGTAGATGCACTAGCACAGATGCCGAAGTACGCCAAGTTCATGAAGGATTTACTCACTAACAAAAGGAAGTTGGAAGACGCGTCAACGGTAAGGCTTAACGTGGAATGTTCAGCAGTGATTAGGAGGGATCTACCAGAGAAGCTTAAGGATCCAGGTTCTTTCACTATACCTTGTTTAATAGGAGATCTTACTTTTGATAGGGCCTTAGCTGATTTGGGTGCAAGCATTAATTTGATGCCATATTCCTTATATGAGAAGCTTGCACTCGGTCCACTCAAACCAACGCGTATGTGTATTCAGTTGGCTGACCGTTCAGTCAAATATCCTAAAGGTATTATTGAAGATGTGTTGGTTAAAGTGGACAAGTTTATTATTCCTGTAGACTTCGTTATTTTGGACATGAATCAGGATCGTGAGGTACCTTTAATTTTGGGCAGACCATTCTTGGCAACTGCCCGAGCGCTTATTGATGTTGGAGATGGTAAGCTTGTCCTCCGTGTTGGGGATGAGACTGCCACCTTTGATATGTCCAAAATAATGAAGAGGCCCTGTCAGGACAGTGGAGAGTGTTTTTATGTGGATGATATTGATTCTATGGTGGAGGACTGCATACCTAACATGCTTTCCAAGGAAGCCCCGTTTGATATTTTATTGGAAGAGAGTATATCAGCAGAGGATCTTGAGCCCCTCCCTAGCTTTGATTGTCTTATGATAAGTGGAGGGGAGGATTCAAGTGATGCTAGTTCTGAGCGAGAGACGAGAGGTGATTTAAATGAGCATGATTTTATTGATGATAATCCTGACCCCCCTGTCATTTTTACACCCGAGCTTGAGCCATCCCAAAATTTTACATGTTTTAATTTACTTAGCGAACAAGGGGAAGCTCTAGCTCGGAAAATTTTTGACATGAAAGGGAGTTGTCCATTCTTTGACCCATTCTTTGCTAAAGGGCCTGATAAAGGCCACGATCCATTCTGTTGCTTTACAGAAAACCCTGAGATGTGCAATTGTTTTCATGAATTTAAGGTCTTACGCCATCTCAGGGCATTTGTTGATAAGAGGTTTGATTTGTGGAAGACAAATATTCTGAGCGGAAGTGTCTTTGACTGAGTTTTTGAGTGTGTAGTTGCGTCGGGCAAACGACGTTAAAAATAGCGCTTCTCGGGAGGCAACCCGAGCTTAATTTGTGCTTTGTTAGTTTAGTTTTACTGCTTTTCAGAAAACCCACAAAAACCACCAAAAAAAAAAAAAAAAAAAAAAAAAAAGGTTGATTCGAAGCAGGCACGGTCGTGCCTACCTTCAGGCACGCCGTGCCTGAAGAGAAAAAAATCGATGGGAGGCTACTGGGAGCCAGGCACGGTCGTGCCTGGCAGCTAGGCACGCCGTGCCTGGCATGAATCGCGAACACAGCTACTGGGAGCCAGGCACGGTCGTGTCTGGCAGCTAGGCACGCCGTGCCTGGCTAAAATTACTATCCTACCCCCGCGATTTAACATTACCCAGCCCTTCTCCCCTCTTTTCTCTTACGCGAACACAGCCCCTAAGCATCGATCTCTCTCCTGCCTCGAAGCCGACGGACCACCGCGACCCGCCACCACCGTAGACCACCGCCGGCGACCACCACTACTCCGACCGAGCCCCTTCTTCTCCCCCCTCTCATCACTCAAGGTAACTCTCTTCTTCCTTCTTCTTCTTTTTCTCCATTAATGGAGGTTGTTTAAGCTTTGAAAAATCCGAAAATGCATGTACTCGAATCTTAGGGATTTTGATTTCCATGTGTCAATTGAGGCTTGTGTTATTGCTATTGATGTTCTATCATGATGAATTTGCCTCTTTTGTTTGAAATCCCTAATTTTTGAGCTAATTTAGCCAATTTAGGGTTGAAAGTTGTTGAATGTTTGAAAAATTGGGGATTTTGTGCTTGTTGCTTGAATTAAAGATTGAATTATTGATTGAAATAATGTGTACTTGTTATTAAGGCTATTTGAGCACAAACCCCCAATTTTTAGGCCAAACCATGTCAAATTTGAGAATTGTAAGTTCTTCTCCTATTTTGATTTGTTTATTTCTTTTGGGAAGAATTCTATTCTACAAACATTGTTGAGATGAATGAAGCTTGGTTGTGACCTTGTTTATACCGTGTGTCGTTGAAAACTTGAATTTTATTCAAAGAACTTTTCTTTGATAAAAATTCAAACTTTTCAACTAGTCTGGTTAAACTTGGATTTTCTTTTGGCATATTTTGATGTTGGCGGATCATTGTTGCTAACGGGGCTATTCTTTTCTGTGCCTAATTCTAACCTCTTGAAGCCCCGTTGGAATTCTTGTGTTTTCACTATTTTTGCAGATGGCCCGCACAAAGAACTCTACACGCACTTCTCACACCGCAGTTGCTAGCTCTAGCCGCCCACAGGGCACACGAGGCGGCCGCTACCAGCCCCAGTTTGACACAGAAAAGGAGATGCTGACATACCTAGAGCTGATGAAGAAAAAGGTGGGTACGATGTACCACCCAGATGAGCCCACACTGATGGCAGCGGAGCCCACACTGAGGGATGAGGTGATGCACTTGATCAGGAGAGGTTGGTGGCAGCATTTATTTTTCGGCATCCAAGAGCCGACTTTCAAGGAAGTCACGTGTGAGGTGTTAGCCACAATTGAGCTCCCAAAGCTCATACCGGAGAGGGACTATCTAAAAAGGGGAATAAGGTTCCAAGCATTTGAAGACAAGCTGGATACTTCGCTTAGTCAGATTGAGCGCTATTTGGGTTTTGATGACGTTGAGGTAGGACAACGAGACGAGGTTGGCCTTTGTGACCTCCCCCCGCATGTGAACAGACAGGCCTTTTGGGAATCGATTAGCAGAGGGGGCAAGACTTATAAGCCCCGAGAGACCCCAGCCACACTTCTTTATCCCCGGAAGTTCCGAGTTATCCACGCCCTACTTGCTTCTACAGTGACCGGGAGGGCTGAGGTTGGGGCCAAGGTTTCTACCACTGACTTGTTATGCCTTTACTGCATGGTTCATGACAGGAAGCCCTGCATGGGCTCTATCATAGCTAGCCTCTTCCATCGCCAATCCACAAACCACATTCAGGCCCTATATTCCGGTCCATACATTACACGTCTTCTGCGAAGGATGGACTATGGAGATCAGTTCCGCAACATGGAGGTTTCTTCTAGTTTTCTTCCGCTCACCATACTTCCGTCCATGAATACCGGACTTGGGGCTAGACTTCAGCGGGAGGCTGACCGCGCAGCAGCAGGAGGAGGAGGACAGCAGGTAGATGATGATGCTGATGATGATGACCATGATGACGATGATGATGATGTGGAGATGGAGGCAGCTTCTCACGAGGCCCCATACGATGCACCCCCCTACGGCACAGATTTTCCGGATTCTTGGGCAGGGATGCATGCGCATCAGGATGCCGTCTATCGGCAGTTGTCCACTGAGCAGCATGAGCGGTTCGATCAGATGCGCTTCGAACAGCAGGACTTCTATAGAGAGATGAGGGAGGACCAGACACTCCATTATTCACAGCTTCAGTCTCAGTACACCCGGATTGATGAGAGACTCACCTCTATGGAGTCTAGCTGGAGTTCATTCTTCGATGACTATCCACCGCCACCCCCTCCTGAGTTTTAGATTTTATTAGATTGTCCTCTGCTAGCATCTGTATCATTATACTGTTGGATGACTGTACCTTAAACACTATCACACTCACACTCTCACTACTGCACTTAACTCTTTATATTTTGCTTTGCTTGGTGTTCATGATTTGTTGCAGCTTAGTGGATGAATGTGTTCGTGCGAATCAAGACCCAGTTCTGTTCCTGACTAACCAACGCGATAGGGAAGTTTCCATGATTCTTTAAACTTGATGCGTAATGTTAACTTGAGTTAATTTTGAGCACGCGTGACCCTTTCCTCTTTACCCCTAGTACATAATGCATATTTGGTCATCGAGGGCGATGCCAAAGTTTAAGTGTGGGGGAGTGAATTGGGCATTCGGGCAGTAGTTGTCACATGTGATTTGTTAGAGTTAGCATGCGCAGGTGTTAGTTGTATATTCATAAGAAAATTCATGTCAAAATTTTTGAAAATTTTTCTTTAAACTGTGTCTTTGTGAGCTGGCTAGCATTTTGACTATACTTTTAGAACATCCTTGAAGTGTTTAGGCTTAAATTGCTTGCACTATAATCTAGTTGTTGAAAGGATGAAGGCATTAGTCACCCATTGAATTTTCCATTAATCATCCACCCCACCTGAATAAGACCCTTTAGGAGAAGCCATTTTGAGCCTGACCGTTTATTGTTACCCGATTAATTGAGCTCCATAGCTAAATGGCCTGTGTTCCTTACCCGTGAATATTTCTGACTTAGTCTTGATGTTTAGGGAATTAAGGGATTAATTTGCTAAGTTTAGGGAATTGTGTGTAGGAGCCATTTTTGGCACTGTTCCTATGCCCAAATGGGGTAAGAGCAGTCACTTTTTAGGAATATGATACTTTCGAGGATTGCATTGTAGGCATGGATTCACTTTGAAATTAATGAACTTAAATTGCTATTTTTCCTTGGTGAGGCCGAGATTAGAATGGAGTAATGTCTAGTGAGAATCTGAAAGGTGAAAAATTAATATAGCTAGACCTCTTACTTTTCGAAAAAGAGAATGGGAGCCCCGGTCAAAAAGCGTAAGATGAGACTTGAGTATCTTTCGAAAGAAATGGCGTTCTCGTGCCAACATGACAAGGAAAACTAAACCATAATTAATGAACTTGGAGGCTATTGAAAAATTAGCTTTAGTCCTCCGCGTACTTCAAGTATACGTCAAAGTACAAAAGTGCCAAGACGGTTTAGCTTAGTTGTACACCATGTCTACTCTTTGCATAGGTTTAAATGATTGTTCCTAATTTGTGGCCTACTGAGTTCCCTGTTCCTACGAATAGCCCTGAAATTCCTGAATGCATTGAGTCTTTGTTAGAATATTCCTATCTCTCGAAAGAAAGGGATTATTATTATTATCCATGCACCATCATCTTCACAAGTCCTTCTGATCAGTAGCTAGCTTATTTGTGTATGCTGTCATTACTTTGAGGATGTTGTGAATAATTGTGTCAAATAGTTTAGCTTGAGTACAAAGGTGTAGTTTAGGGAAGAATTTTCTTGGTTTAAATTGTCTGTCCTGTGAATATCCCTCTAACTACGTGTGTATGCTAACTATTTTAAATTCCGTGTGGTGATTATCGTAAGTCCCGTTGTTCAGTTTGCTTGAGGACAAGCAAAAGCTTAAGTGTGGGGGAATCTGATAAGTCCGTATTTAGACACGCATTTGATGCGTGTTCGGGTCGGACTTTGATGATTTTCCTGGCTTTAAGGTGTTGCAAGTCTCAATTTTGGCTCAAGTTGTGTTTAGCAGGCGTTGGATCGAGTTTCATTGCATTTGGAGTTGATTTGAAGAAGTTAGAGTCCGGCAATCAGCGCTTGAGAGGCATTCGGGAAGGATTTGAAGGCATTCGGGAAAGATTTGGAAGATTTGGAGGCCACCGGGAGATTTGCGACGAAATTCTGGTGAAGAAAGAGCAGTTGGATCGACCTCATTGGCATCCGGGAGCATTCGGAGCAAGAAAACGAAGGAAAAGTGAAGAATAGGGTCAGGCACGCCGTGCCTGGCAGCTAGGCACGCCGTGCCTGATGCGAAATTATTCTGCGAGCTACTGGAGGCCAGGCACGGTCGTGCCTGGCAGCTAGGCACGCCGTGCCTGGCATTTTTCGAAGAGTCGAGCTACTGGAGGCCAGGCACGGTCGTGCCTGGCAGTTAGGCACGCCGTGCCTGGACGCGAAACCGGCCTTCTTCCGTAGGCACGGTCGCAGGCACGGTCGTGCCTGGCACCGTGCCTGGCCGCGATTGATCCTAATTCGACCCGAATTCGTTGTTTTCTATAAATAAGGCCTCCATAACCCCGTTTTGGGGGTTACGAACATTACGGAAAGGCCTAGGGACGAATTTACTTGCGTTTTTACGCTATTTTCTTCCAAGACCCTGGGATTATTTGTAAGTTCATCTTTTTAATTAATGACAATTATTTCTATTCATCTCAATTCTGTTGATTCTTCAATTATGAATTGTGAGTAGTTTAATTAGGGATTTGGGATTGATGAAGGGGTTAATCATGATGTATGGCTAGATTCTTGTCGGTGTAATTGCATGAATGCCGTTTAATTTGTGTTTGAATAATTTAATTGATATCTCTTGTAACCTAGACTGCAGCTAGAATTACAATTGCATGTAGAATGAATTAAGAGAGATCTAATTTGTTCTAGGACACATTCACACACACTTAATCGTTCGCTAAGAGATTAGTAGCGATTAAGGGACCGTAAGCTCGCTCGTCTTGGCAATAATTTAGGATCCTGTCGCATGAGAGATCAGCCTGGTCCCCTAAATTATTGTACTCTACGCCGCGAGAGCGGTAAGAACTTAGTAATGATTAGCTAGGCTCAATTAAATTAAATTCATGTAATTAAGCCTGATCTGCCAGAAATCTGGTTACCCCGGAATCAATTCCTATTCCCTTCGTCGTTAATTGAGAAGAAACCACTTTTATTTTAATCATTCATCTGCATTAGTTTAATTTTAATTCACCAATCAATCTCGCACACTTGCATTTATTTATTTTATTTCTTTTTAATCGCTGAATTTAGTTAATCTTTAAATTCCCTTTTGTCCGTCCCTGTGGAGACGATACTCGTACTTTACACCACTTTTCTACAACCATTTTAAGTGCGAGAAAAACTCACGGTCGTGCCTGGCACCGTGCCTGGCCGCGATTGATCCTAATTCGACCCGAATTCGTTGTTTTCTATAAATAAGGCCTCCATAACCCCGTTTTGGGGGTTACGAACATTACGGAGAGGCCTAGGGACGAATTTAACACCGTTTTTACGCTATTTTCTTTCAAGACCCTGGGATTATTTGTAAGTTCATCTTTTTAATTAATGACAATTTATTCTATTCATCTCAATTCTGTTGATTCTTCAATTATGAATTGTGAGTAGTTTAATTAGGGATTTGGGGTTGATGAAGGGGTTAATCATGATGTATGGCTAGATTCTTGTCGGTTTAATTGCATGAATGCCGTTTAATTTGTGTTTGAATAATTTAATTGATATCTCTTGTAACCTAGACTGCAGCTAGAATTACAATTGCACGTAGAATGAATTAAGAGAGATCTAATTTGTTCTAGGACACATTCACACACACTTAATCGTTCGCTAAGAGATTAGTAGCGATTAAGGGGCCGTAAGCTCGCTCGTCTTGGCAATAATTTAGGATCCTGTCGCATGAGAGATCAGCCTGGTCCCCTAAATTATTGTACTCTACGCCGCGAGAGCGGTAAGAACTTAGTAATGATTAGCTAGGCTCAATTAAATTAAATTCATGTAATTAGGCCTGATCTGCCAGAAATCTGATTACCCCGGAATCAATTCCTATTCCCTTCGTCGTTAATTGAGAAGAAACCACTTTTATTTTAATCGTTCAATTCGCATTAGTTTAATTTTAATTCACCAATCAAATCTCGCACACTTGCATTTATTTATTTTATTTCTTTTTAATCGCTGAATTTAGTTAATCTTTAATTCCCTTTTGTCCGTCCCTGTGGAGACGATACTCGTACTTTCAACCACTATTCTACAATCTTTTTAAGTGCGAGAAAACTCACATCAAAAGGTATAAAAACTAGTTAGGTCATAGATTCAGAAACTCATCGAGTTTTAGTCATATCCCGGTAAATTTCCCCATTGAAAACTTATAATCTTGTTGTTCACTCCAACTTCACTGGTGTTTATTTCTGGTAGATTCACGGAAATGTTTATGATGGACGTAAATATGTTTTGTAATGACAAAAAATTAGTGCGTGCCTGTGTGGCCCACATCAAAATACCAAAGAAAAATGATGGTGAATACCTGGGTTGAATTAGTTAAGTTGAGTGATCTCAACTCAATTATGAATTATATCAACGTGGTATCAGTGTATGAAGAATTCAACATGGACCCTTCGCTCTATCCATTCTATGTCATGGATCTTTTACTCTATCCATACCACCCCTGCTCTCCTAGCCACACTAGCACCCAAACCGGTAAGACCCATATAGCTCATACAAATGCCATCTCACGCAACCACTCTTGCCCGTTGGAAATAAATTGATAAAGAAAATCTACACTTGATGAATTATATCAAGTGTTGATGTAAAAATAGAAGCTTCAAACAAATTCTCTTGGAATAACTAATGTGAGAAGGAAGAGTTTAACAAATGCAATCTATGTTAATTAATGAAGAGTAAAGGCATATATATATATATATATATATATATATAGGGTGCGGTTCCAGTGAGAACGATGCTTAACGTGAGAACGTGAGAACACTCACATTTAAATCAATGTGGTGCACAATGGAGCTATTCTGTTGCACATTTTCAATTTGGTCGAAATAAGAGTATAATAAATAAACACGGTGGCATTTTTGTAAATACTGTTAAAATGTGAAAATGTGCAATATACAAGCTTCATTGTGCAACACGTTGGGGAGAAAGTGGTGTTCTCACGTTCTCACGTTAAGCAATGTTCTCATTTGATCTTTATTCTATATATATATATATATATATATATATATATATATATATGTATATATATATATATATATATATAGCCTTACAATAATTCCTACATGGGAAGTGGGATTGTGGGAAGTGGGGACATGCAAACATGCTAAGTAACCACCCGACTAAAACAAATGCTTAACTTCACACTGATGTCACTAATTTAATTAATAAATTAATTAAAATATAAACCAAACTTAAATAAAACTCCACCCATGCATGCATATGTGAGACCCATGACCGATTAAATCCAACATTGCCTTAACTCCAAACTCCAATCACTCTCGTTGTACTCATTGAGTCATTGTGGCATTCCTGGTCACACGCAACAAGGCAACAAGTTGCATGGATATGTTGCCCTCATTCATGGAATTGAACTACCAAACTTAATTACATTATCTAATGTATTATGTGTTCCCTCCTTTCACTACGCACAATTAAGATTTTGTTACATGATTGTCCTATGATTTAAATTGTAGTGTTGCTATTTACCCTAATTATTGTATTTTTTAGGACCAACTGCAAAGGAGGTGATTGGTCGGGGTAATAGAAAACATGCACTATATTTTCTAAACGCCTCCACGTACCCACATCGACCACACTTTTGGACGCATGTCTCGCAACTTGACACTCCCGACTAGGTCATTCTTCTCTTGCATGTCTTTAAATTGTTTTCAATCATTCTTGGTTGTTCAAATAAATTACATATGATATGTCATGGTCATTTATCAAAATAAACTAGGCCATCCTTCCTCCCGACTAGACCATTTGTGTGATATATGTCATTTATTACCTTTTAATCATTGTTGATGATTTTTCTCGCATTAGGTGGACATATTTAATGAAATTTAAAACTGATTTTTCCCTTGATTGTTCATTTTTTGGCTTATATAAAAAACAAATTTAACACATGTGTCAAAACCACGCGATCTGATAATGGCACGTAATTTACCAATCATATTTATATTATTTAATGTATCACATTACATTAAATATGATTGGTATACTTTGCCAAACAAGCTCTCATATTTTGAATAATAAAACGTCTTTTGAAATATTACGTCAACAACCTTCCAGCTTTAATATTATATGCACTTTTGATTGTTTATATTTTGCCTCCACCAGTTGCCAACGTCCCCATAATTAGATTGTTACAAGTTTTTGTTTCTCATTTGTTTTGTAGATCGTTATAAGTTAAACACACATTTTTAAAACATTCATGTTTTTCATTTTAGTTACATTTTATTTTATCACATTACACTAATATAAATTATTTGTTTTAAAGACTCTTACATGTTATTCATACGTATCTATATCTCTTATAGCGGCATTTACACAAAAATATAAAATGAGTTACACCAAGCAATTTTATATCAAAGTTGCACAAAATTTGCGCAAAGTTGCATCATTCCTATTGCACGGGACACGGGAGTACCGTGTGGAAAAGCATGCTTAAAGTTTCCAAGTATAAAAAGGAGTCAAATAAGAAAGGTTTTCAAAAAGGAATATGTATCAATAATTGAAGAATGGAGTATTTTGGGGCTTTTTACTTTATTTTAGGACTATTATTTGTTTTTTTTTAATGAGGTAGCTTGGTAAGTATATACTATATAATGGTTCGGTATGAGTTTCTTTACCTTGTTTAGAGTGTTTGTGATTGTTTCTATTTAAAAAAAAATACTTTTAAAAAATAATTTTAAAGAAAATGTTTAATGGTAAAAGTTATTAGTTTAAAAAAAGTGTTGGAAAAAGTGAAAATTGGTGATACAACAACAACATTATCCTAGTGGCCTAGTGCCACAAATGCTCCCGCCAATGATGGGGGAAGGGGGGTAGTAGGATGCACACAAACTTACCACTGCACTAAAAATTGGTGATATTTGGTAAAATCATATTTTTGTATGAGAGAAAAAGTGAAAAACAATTTAAAACACTCCTTCAAATATTTACCGCTTTTGACTTTTATTTGCTTAATTTAAATAGAATTTGTAATTTAAGAACATTCAATTCAATTTTTTAAGTAGGCCGTAAAACATTTTTTTTAAAGGTTTTACAAACACTTCTTTAGTTTTTTTTTTGAAAAACTTCTTTACTACTTTTGCCATATTTTGATCATTTGATGGTAATATAATGAGAACGACTGAACGAGTAATAAATTCTAACGCACATAGATGTAGCGCAGACATTAATGAACTATATAATATATCATCATCCAGTAGTCGAGATTTAGCTCCCTCTGTATCATTTGATCAAACACCAATTGGTACCACCATGGCAACATGGTTGACTTCAGATGGTTTTCAGCCTCCCCTTCCCACAGCACCCAGGTTTAATCCCAGCTAACTATATCCGATCCCTGCACTAAAGGGCGTATTCTAATTTGATACTAGTACATATTTATCCTTCTATATGTTCAAGCAATTAGACTAGGAGTTTATGGGATGCAGCCAGACATGTAGCCTCACACCACTAGGGAAGTAGTCATCCCAGAAGTTGCAAAGGAAGATACGTTACAGCTTCAAAGATTGAGAGTACATTTACAGGGGAAATAGCTTATCAGCGTAGCAACTTTGAGGAAAATATGGTGGGTCTGGTCATGAACTAAACTGACGCCAAGATCCAGAACATTACATGAGATGAAATGGCAATAAGAAACCAGGTTATAAATGCCAAGACAGCTGCAAGCTCAAATTTGACGCACGGAAGATGAGATGGATCATGGCAGAACTTCAAATCTTTTGAGTATAAAACTGCTATCCCAGCAGAGGAGCAAGCTGCCGCAAGTGATAATGTTGATGTCACCTGCAACCGAATCAATCCAGTCAATACGGGGATTACTCAGCAATCATTGTTCTAATTTGATGGGAAACAGGTGGTACATGCATCCCATGTCAAAACCCAAAAAGTTAGGAGTTGATATGGTGCATCAGAATGTAGATTTAAGAGCTCAAAACAAAAACAAAATGCAAAAACAAATGTTGCAAAATTGTAGATAAGTGCAACTTTTGCCACCAGTCCAAGTGCAAATGCCTTTTTGGTGTAAAAACTACAGCCGCGCATTACTAAAGGTTCATAATTTCAAATGCACATTTTTCACATCCTTTTCATTTGAACCACTCATTACACACATAGATACACACACATGTATATGTCCAGCTATCCAATAAGAGCATTGGACAGAAGAGCATTTTCCCCAAGTTTCGTAAATTAACTAAATCATCAAAGACTATTTTTCATGTTTAGCCTTCCATATTTCCAACAAACATATAATTCATCAAAGCACCCATTAATCATTTCAAAAGTGACTGCCACTTGAAAATAGGATGTTTTATTGTCATTTAGAATTAGCATTCCACGCATAAAAATGTGATAATCCAACCGCCACAAGCTTGTTTTTTATTTTCTCATATTTGTTTAGTCAGCTGTTCAGGAAAATATTTGGAGTGAAGTGGACATCTGGTAAAGCCTAGCACCAAAGGGTACATACCCAATCCCCCACAACAAACAGGCTGACCAAGACTGGACTACAGATATCTCTTTTTATCTTCAAAGCATAGATGTCAAGACATGCAAGCCCAAAACTCCAGAGCATTTGAAGTCCCATCGATGCAATTAAATAGCTGAAACAAATAGACAATTTCATGTAATTTACCTTGAGCAAAAATGAAAGGCAGAGAGAGAGCTGAATCTATTGAATATGTGAAATGACCCTAAATCCACAGACATAGTTTTGTTCCTTCATGTTCCACCTTAGGAAGTGCCCTTTAACACTCAAAAGGTATAGTGGATTTATCCTTTATGGACACATTATTATAGTTCCAGAATTTTGCAGTGGAGAGAAGGGGAGATATTTAATTTTTTAATCATTTCTAAGGCTGGCATTTCAAACCGAAAAACCGAAAAACCGAACAGAAAATAACCGAACCGCTTTGAAAAAAACGAACCAAACCGAACTGAACGAAATTGGGACCCAAAAATTGGGACCCAAAAATTGGGACCCGAAAAAAAAATGGTTCGGGTTCGGTTTTTTGCACAGACAAAACCGGTTTGGACCAAACCGACAATTTTATATTAATAATAATTACTATTATTAATAATATTAAAGACATTAAATAACGATATAATAAAAGATCGAGCATTACATAGACACACTAGACGCGCTGCGGAGATGGTAATCTAGTGGCCTACTCAATCCCGACGCCAGGGGTTCGAATCCCGTTGCGGTCTGGGTTTTTTCCTCCAGATTTCTTTTTTCCCTATACAACTTTGACCCACACCGGAAAAGGTGTGATTTCCTACTCCTAAATGCTTCTATATAAAGCAGACCTCCTATCATTAGTTGAAGCAGCCGAACCTTAGTGGGCTAATATGCTTACGAGGCTGCCATTGGGTATATGGGCTCAAAAATGGGCAAGTTTCTAACGGGCTCTAATAGTTCAAAATTATTTATTCCTCTTGAGTCGGTTTTTTTTTTGTTTCCAAAAAACCGAACCGAAAAATCGGGCACCGAAAATTTGGACCCGTTTTGAGATTGGGTCGGTTTCAGTTATGGTAAATTGGATAACCGATAAATCGGTTCGGTTCGGGGATTCATGGGATTGGTTTGGGACCCGAACCGAAGCCAGCCCTAATCATTTCTACATTTATAAGGTGGGAAT